TCGATGACTGAAAACATGGCTCCTTAACACAGTCACCCAGAAGAGATTGACTCATGGCATTGCTACAAGTCCACAGACATTTTGGATCATATTAATGTTCAGGACCTCATGAGGTACTTTATCAGCATCACTCCAGAGTGCAAGTCCACGTTTGGAGTGCCAAAATCTTCATAAGGTAAGATGCTGTTTTTTCGCGTGTATGACAGTGTGCGCTTGTTTACTTCCGTCAATGCCATGCAGTGTATTTGTATGACATTTCTCTGTGATTGTGATTTGTGGCATAAACTTAAATCAGTGCAGAGGATTTTGCAGAATTTTGCTTTAAGTCTTTAACTGATTGTAACCTGGTTTAACCTGTGTCAGTCGTTGCTGTATCTGTCACTTGCATTGATCCAGATTGTAGAGTGTGGTCCCACTAGCTGCCGATCCTGGCTTTTTGCTAGGGATTCTCCGGGGTTCTCCCTGTCTGATTGAAAACGCCTCCTCCGTCTGGCAATTCGGCTGTTTTCAGGTTTCCTTCGTTGTAGCTGTCGAGACCACGTGGCTTGGTCTGACCTCGGTGAAGTTGGCTTGACGAAAAAGGCTTAAAATGGAACTTGGTCGTTCCTGAATTAGTCCAGTGTAACTTAACGGACAGATAACTTTAACAAACAAAAGAAATAAAGAAAATAAAACAAACTGAAGGGCAGATCGATGTCTCGGCACTTCACGTGTGTAGCTTCAGGCGAACAAAAGGCCTGTTTCGCTGGTCGACTCTGAGGGCGTTGCTCCAGCGAGCAGAGCAGAGTAGAAGAGAGCCAACAGCGAAGAGAAGAGAGCAAAGCGAGGTGGCGTGTCGCTCTTTTGTTGCCTGGGGCGTGGTTCTCCAGGGGGCGTCTCAGGTTTCCAAAGGGACTGCCTTTCTAAACTAAATGTTTAAAAGAAATCTATTTGCAAGTATTATAATCAAAATATTTTCCACAATCGAACCTCAACGGTCAAACGGTTGTACTGTTCTAAGCATTTGGTAACAGGAAACAATTGTCACATTATTGGTCAGGATATTTATACATTTAACGGCATTTCCAAAGAGGGCATGTAATACTTATTTCGTCCACTTGGGGGAGCTCAGGTTATATGAGTAAAGCTTAGATTAATCAAAGATCATCTCCTTAGGAACTGGGGAATTATTGTTGATTCATCCTTAAATTCAAGCTGGCGGTTAAGACTATAGTAAAACATTACTTTGTCATCATTTCTAAAGGAATTTTGTAGGAAAGTATTATGAACAAGCATTGATTACATTAGATGAAGGAGTGTCTTGCTGAAAATAAAAACACTGCACAAGTAACTTTCTTTTCAGCACTAATATCAACAACAGATAACAACAACAGTTAACATAACTACTCAAATAGAGGCAAACGTAATCAAGTAACTAAAGATTTAATTAAACTTAATTAAATGCTTTGAGTCTTTGGAGACTGCAGTCCCTTTTACATTGAAAGTTCGGCTGTCCTGGATTATGTCACACTTAGGTGAGACAAGGAGTATCCCTTTGATGGGATAATAAACATAGAGCAAAGTCAGTTGCCACGGAAACATGTGGGGGGGGGGGGCAGTTTTGATAGGCTGTTCAGGGAAATGCCAATGGCTGGCTTGTGTCCCTTTGTCAGTTTTACAGTCAGGCCCCGCGTTATCAGCTTCGGAATCAAAAAGGTGCCAGTTTTATGGTCGGGCTAGCACTTAGAGAAAGCAACTTTGACCCCTCCCCTTCTTCTCTGGGGAGGAGAAAGGAATTTAGAGTAGCTCCAAATTTATTCAATATAAAATGCACAAATCCACACCGTTGTTCACTACACACTCCTCTGTAGGAATTAGCCGAGTTGTATCCTCACTGTCTGTTATTATAATCTATTGTTATAATAACCTGGATGTGGGACATATCTCTTACTAGCCTCCATCCTTCATCTCTCTTTGTAGTTTTTAAGCATTAGTTCATTGTTGTTAACTGTGTAACTTTGGCTTCTTCGAGACAAAGTTTGCTGCCTGTTGTAGTATAAAACATCCAAAAATCAATAATAATAATAATAATACATTTTATTTCTAAAGCGCTTTTCAAGACACTCAAAGACACCTTACAGTAAAAGCAGAAGTTATGTACATTTAAAACAGATTAAAAAAATAAAAAGCATAATATAAAATATGTGAACAGTAGACAAAAACAAGTGGTGCGGAAATTCATAAGAGCATACATATAAATAACAAAATAACAAACAGCAGCAGGTGTATATAACATTATTTGATGTTAAAAGCTAGTCTAAAAAGGTGGGTTTTGATTTGATTTGAAAGAGTCTATGTCGCTGCAATCTCGAAGAGGAGGGGGGCTGCAATGGTGAAAGCTCTGTTGCCCCAGGTGCGGTGCTTGGTCCTGATTTGAGGTGAGAGGAGGTTAATGTCAGAGGAGCAGAGGTTGCGGGAGGGATTGTGGTGGTAGAGCAGGTCTGTGAGGTAGGAAGGGGCCTTGTTATGGAGGGCTTTATGTGTGAGGAGAAGGATTTTGTACAGAATGCGTTGTGGAACAGGGAGCAGGTGAGGATTCTGGAGGACGAGGGTAATATTGTCACGGGTGCGTGTGGTGGTGAGAAGGCGGGCAGCAGAGTTTTGTATATACTGAAGTTTATTTAGGGCTTTCGCAGGTGAACCATAGAGGATGCTATTGCAGTAGTCAATTCTGGATGTAATGAAGGCGTGGATCAGGGTTTCAGCAGCAGAGAAGGTGAGTGATGGGCGGAGACGGGCACTGTTTTTGAGGTGAAAGAAGGCACTCCTGGTGACATGGTTGATGTAGTGTTCAAAAGTGAGGTTGCTGTCAAAGACGAGGTTGCGGATGTGTGGGGATGGATACAAGGTGGAGTTGTTGATGGAAAGGCTGAAGTTGTTGGTGTTTTTTGTGAGTGATTTGGGGCCGATGATGATCGTGTCAGATTTATTGTAATTGAGTTGTAAGAAGTTGTTTGCATCCAGGTTTGTATGTCGGTGAGGCAGTTGGTCAGAGTTGCAGAGGTAACTGTCGTGATGGATTCGGTGGAGATGTAAATCTGGACGTCATCAGCATAGCAGTGGAAGTTGAGACCATATCTACGTATGATGTAACCGAGTGACAGGATGTAAATGATGAACAGGAGAGGACCAAGCACCGAACCTTGGGGGACGCCTTGTGAAAAAGGAGCAGTGGAGGAGGTGCAGTTATTGATGTTGATGAACTGTTGTCTGTTAGTGAGGTAGGAGCAGAGAGAGTGCAGTGCCGGTAATATTGGAGTAGGTTTCCAGTCGGGAGAGAAGAATGGAGTGGTTGATGGTGTCAAAGGCTACAGTGAGGTCGAACATAATTAGGATGGTGAGGTGACCGTAGTCGGCAGAGAGGAAGAGGTCATTGGTTATTTTGAGGAGGGCTGTTTCAGTACTGTGTTGTGAGCGGAATCCAGATTGAAGTGGTTTGAACAGGTTATTAGTGGTGAGGTGGGTTTGAATTTGAGCAGCGACAACATGTTCTAGGATTTTTGATAGGAAGGGGAGATTGGAGATGGGTCAGAAATTGGACATGATGTCAGGGTTGAGACCAGGTTTCTGGAGGATGGGGATGACAGCTGCAACTTTGAGTGTTGTGGAGACTGATCTAGATGTGAGGGAGAAATTAATGATTTTGAGGATGAGTGGGGTGATGGATGGAAGGCAGGTCTTGATTAGGGATGATGGGATGGGGTCTAAGCTGCAGGTGGAGTTGTTCATTTTTGTGGTGAATTGTGACAGTTCTGAAGGTGTGAGTGAAAGGTGGACCGGACAGTGTTGAGAGCGTTTATGTATTGGGGAAGGTAGTCTGTGTATGCGTGAAGGTGAACTTTTAAGCCGGTTTTGTTGTAGAGTCTTTCCAGTTGATGCTTGCGGGATTTCATTTTGTGAAGTTCAGGAGTGTACCAGGGTGTGTGAAGGAGATGGTTTTGGTTATAAGTGGAGCCAGCAGGTCGAGACAGGAGGAGAGAGTGTGGTTGTAGTAGTCCACAAGATCATGAGCTTGAGGTTTCTGAATGAGATTTTGCACTGCACTTTTGTGGTGGGAATGGGGATATTAATGTCCATTATGATTGCAAGATGGTCTGAGATGTGGAGGTTAATGCTGGAAATATGATTTAATGTGAGAGCAGTGGAGCAGACCAGGTCGAGGATGTGACCATGGGAATGGGTGGGGAAGTTGATGTGCTGTGTGTAGTTGAAGCAGTGTAACAGTTCCATAAATTCAGTGGCGGATTTGCAGTTGGTGTTGTCAATGTGGAAATTAAAGTCTCCAAGGAGGAGGACAGTGGGTGATATGGCAGAGAGCTGGGTCAGGAAATGAGAGAAGTCGGAGAGAAAGGTGGGGTTTGGCTTGGGGAGCGGTAGAGGATGGGTGTGAGAAGCAGAGTGGGACCAGAGAGTTTGAAGGTGAGATGTTCAAAAGGCAGAACAGCAGGGGTGGAGATGGTGGTTATTTTGATGTCCTTTCTGTAGATCGTGGCCACACCATCTCCCCGTCCCTCCGTACAAGGCTCGTCTGCGTAGGTAAATCCTGTAGGTGAGATCTGGTTTAGTGAGAAGTAATCCAGGAGTTTGTGCCTGTGATGCAAAGGAAGTCCAGTTTATTGTCAATGATGAATTCGTTCAGGATGAGAGTTTTATTGCTTAATGATTGAGTATTGAGTAGGGCCATTTTCAGGTGACGTTGTTTTGGGATTTGTTGGGAGGACTGGAGGAGAGAACGGAGGTTAAAGAAATTAACCTGTGAATTTTTGTGATGACGTGGTGGGGATATGCGTTTTGACCACATTGTGGGGATGCAGTTTGGCGCTGAGTACTGGTATCAAAATATGCGAACAGAGCGTTTATGTGAAGGAAGGGTAGTGACACGTGAGGCCGCAAGGGGGAGCTGGTGAGGGTAATTGAACTGGGAGCAGCCGTGGTGGGCGGAGAAGAAGCCTTCAGGGAAACGATGTGTGGTGTAAATAGTCAAGCACGTGAGGCAGACTGTACAGCATGTTGGCTGCTAAAAACAAGCTACCTAGTCTGTTGGGGTGCACTACATCGGTCATATAAAAACAGAAACAGATTAAAATTTTCAATTAAACCAAAGTTGTGAGAATGGCAGGTGGACTGGAGCCAGGTGTTGACGCTGAGGAGTCTGCTGAAGTGCTCTGAGTCATGGGACAGATTTGGTAAGGGACCACTGATAAAAACCCATTTACCACAACTTTTTAAAAGGCTAAAAATTTCAATAAAATCCTTTTTTGTCTGCTCAGATTCCCGACGAGCTGTGTCATTATGGCCAATATGGACAAGCACCCGGTTTATGGAGGATGGGAGTTAGTGCAGCAGTTCAGGTAGTTTGCTCAGCAGTCGGGACTGTGGCTCCACGAAGAGAGCATGTGGTGGTGTTGAAGAAATGGATGTTCCTGATAATGCTATCGCCCACTATCAAAGTGGTAGGGGCATAAAGGGGGCAAGGAGAGAGATGATGAGGGAGCTCGCAGTTCGGCAGGGCTCGGGTGTTACTGCGGACTCGTGCGGGCGAGGCTGTTGAGCCATTTGCGTCCAGGCGAGGTGGTCTGCCGGAGCAGATTGAGGTTGAGGAGGAATACCGCTGGGTTTGTTCTCCAGTGGGATCCCAAGCCACCCATTTGGTGTCAGAGCTCTCAGCCGCTGGCGGTTAGGAGGCTGCAGGTTTGGCAGACGGTGTGGATGGGACTTGGCCAGGGACAGGGGAATGCACGGGGGGATCAGCTGGATGGTACGGGTTGGAAACCAGTGGATGGATCTCATAGGACGGTGTCCTGATTGGTTGAGCTCACCTGTTTTTTTGAGTGCTCTGCTATCATGAAGCTGGAAATGAGTGGGAGACGGGCCGAGAAGCTAGTCAGCAGGGAGTCCTTCCTCTGCAGTTCATCTGAGAGCCAACGGATGTTCTCCTTAAGGTCAGAGATGTTTTTATTTGCCTTCTCAGCAGTTCGCTGTCCTGGCAGGTCACATCAGGCATCATTGTCATGTGTTTTCTTCAGCAGATGTAGATGGTGGCTGGTGAACAGAGATAAGAGAAAGCCAGTACAGGGCTAACACAGGGAGGCAGTTGTAGAAAGGCGACCTATTTATTAGCTGTCGCTACAAAGCGAAGTGCATGGTCACTTACAGGCAGGGGCTCCCAACTGGAGCTGACTGTTCTGGTATGGCTTTGATAGGGGGTCGAAGAAAGTTGGATATAAAACTTACCATTCGCGCAGCACATCCTCTCACTTGTCTCTCTCTCTCTCTCTTTCACATAAACACCACAGCACAAATCTGTCCAACACAACGCTGGCAATGATAGACCCAGCTTTAAAAAAGTTATTAGTAATGGTTTAAAGTAAATCAAGAAACAAATGGCTCATGATGGAGCCTAAAGAACATTCTCTTCTCATAAAACTTATAAGCACTTTTGAAAAATAAACTACAGAAGTAGTATGAAAGGGGGCTGTTGCTTTATTGTTCTAAATAGACATTTCATTGTTAGTGTACAGTTGTGGTTTTAGTACTTGCTTTTAATTTGCTTTTATTTTATATAGTTCCAAAGCAAAAATCTTTGTTAAACAGTTAAAAGTTTGTATAAATCAGTGAATTATAGGAGGAGCCTACACTGTCTTTCTTCTTCCCTGGTTTCCCCGTCGCGTTTATACTGGTGTTTATTCTGAATAGTAAACCTCATTCACTTAGCTAGTTAGGTTAGCTAGTTAGGCTGCATGTTGAAGATCAGTAATTCACTTGAAAGATATTTAATTAGTGAAGTTTAATTAGGGTTAGGCTTAGGGAGTGACAAGAATAATCATGACTAGTCGACTAATCAAATAAATAATTAACAGATTAGTCGACAACAAAAATAGTCATTAGTTGCAGCCCTAAATATATAAATATATATGATTCTGGCCTTTCAAATTAATACAAAAAATATTGATGTTGTAAAGCATTTAGTATTGCGTCATTTTATAAGCCGACTTTTGCTCAGCACCCCCAGCTGTGACTGACTCCCAGAGCCCTTGGCTGGGATTTTGACACTCGGAGGACCATGTGGTTTTACCGTTTTTGGACATGAAGGTCTGCCTTTCGGCTTCTCAATATTCTTCTTCTTCATCTTTTTCTTCGTCTCCTTCTTGTGTGATCACTCTCCTCGTCCTCGTGGTCATAGACTTTGTCTGACACGTATTCGTCATCGGAGTCCTCAGTACCAGTTGTCGTCCTGGTCCCCAAGGTTTCGGACGATGATAGCTTTTTTGGTTGTGTTTCGGGGAGCGTTTTTGGGGATGATTTTTGCTAGACTCTGCGCTTCGGTCACAGGGGGCTGCTCACTGATAAAATAAAATGTGAAATGGGAAGTGAAATCCAATCACAAGAGGTAATTCGAATATAGTGCCAGAAGCAGTCTTGATGGATCCGGGCAGAAGACAAGTCTAAACATAGACTGCATGACATAAAAATTACAAATACATATGATGTGTTCTGCCACACACAGATGTCAAAGGTTTTGGTGAGAAAGGAGGGAAACTAACTCTGCATTTTCCTGGAAATGAGTCAAGATGATCTCCTGGGTTTTTAAAAACACCAGGGAATCTGGAGTCAAGTGGGTTGGTTGGTCGAGAATTACGTAAGTAGAGGTTAGTCAGAACTATGAGAGTCCAAATGAGATTACAGTCACTAAATGAAAGAATACCAAGAAAGTTGATAAACGTCAGCGGGCAAAAGCAAACAAACATGCTAATATGAAGTTTATACAGGAAACCATAGTAAGTTATCAGTTAGCTGAGCTGCAACATTAAACAGCAACTTCATATCAGCTGAACATGTTATATAATGTCAAAGGGCAGAAATACCTGCTTAAATTGACAACTTTTAAGTGTTGGCAGGAGGCAGTACAGTTTCCATTTGAATTCAACCACAGCCAGCCATGGTGAATGTGTTGAGACAGGACAGAACGGACCCAAACGCAACTCTCAGTGGGAAGGAGGTTTATTGAGGGTTTACAGAGAGGCTAGGGAAGAGGAGATGGAGGTGAGGTGGACGCCGGGGAACATGGAGGACTGAGGAGCAGGCGAGGCTCAGGCAGTGAGGCAAGGAGTAGGGGGAGCCGGGAGGGTGCCGTGGAGGAAGCCCAAGAGGAGAGGACCGGAGAACGAGCCCACCTGACAGAACAGAGGACGAGGGTGAGTGAACCTGGGAGGGAAAGCAGAGAGACAGAGCTAACACAGGAAACAACCAGGAGCTGGAAAACAGAGATCACTTCTTGAAGTTAACCAGAGCTTGAGCGGTTGGCACCAGGTTGAGTGCAACGACAATCAAGCAAAGATGGTGTGGAGAACCGGGGGTTGATATACAGGCAGGGATGAGGTTGATTACTGGCAGGTGTGGCAGGCTGACGAGGTGCAGGTGCGGGTCATTGGCTGGGCTCAGGAGTGGAGGGGGAGAGGAGGAGAACACGCAGGGGAGGAGACACGGGGAGGCAGGCAGAATACAGGAGAACAAAACAGTGGGAGAAAAAAAAAACGAGAAAATACCAGGACACTCACCGTCAGCCGGGCTGGCCCCACAACAGACTGTGGTGTTGTGTTTACAGAGCCGTCACTTCAGGTAGGCACAAGCAGAATGAATCTGTTTTCTCTTTTTTCAAATTGAAATGGAATGAAAACCACACACAACCAGCACAAACCAGGGTTCTGGAACACCCCCACAGAGCACACTGCTGATCACAGGCAACCACATTGTGCGCGGCCCAATCCCAATGTCCCCCCTAAACCCTAAGCCCTGAACACTCACAGACTTAACACTTGGCAAGTGATTGAGTGCAAGAGGCACTTTGCCACATTATCACGTTACCTTGACAACGCTGAAACACGTTGCACACTTTTTATTTTATGTTTTTGAAGGATTTTAAGACCAGCAGGCGCTTTCCCCACATGGTGGAGGAAAGGTAAATGTCAGTCTACATCGTCAATAATCAATGTACTCATTGTTGTTCAAAACAGCATCATTAAGCAAAAACTAAAATTGTTACGGCGGGTGGCTGAGTTAAGCAGGTTGGAGGACCCAAACGCAGGACACAGAGTGGAGCAGGTATAGTTCGAGGGTTTTAATTAAACAAAAGGTGAGCACACTTACAAACTGAGTGGCTGAAAGACTAAGTCCAAAACAAAGGTTGTCCAACAGAAAACCAAAACGAGCAGGGAAACACGGAGCAACACAGGTGACAGACATGAGACTAACGAGAGAGAGAGAGAGCAGAGGAAAACAGAGAGACTTGACATGACAAGCAGACCTGGGGCAGAGTGAATAAGCGAGAACACAGAACTAGAACACAGTACAGAGCTTAACAGAGAACACAAGACCCGGAGTCTAAAGACACAAACTAAGGTACAAGACTTTTCTCTTGCTTCCGGCCTTCCCCTGGTAACCCCCATATTTCACGTCACAACTTGATTATTGGGCCTGTGAGTGAGTGTGGTGAGTGGTGCAACAGATTTTGCCAGGAGGTGGCCAAGGAGGATGGTGTGTGGACACCTGTATCCTGTCTGTAGTTATATTGAGGCAACAAAAGCATTCTGTATTAACCTAAAACCACCATGTTTCCCAAACGTTAACCAAGTGCTGTGCATGCGTAAAGCTGTAAAAATCTTTAATACTGCTGTAGTCGAGCACCGAGGCACCTACAGTGGGACTGACTATTTGCCACCAAAGGGAAAATACAGAGTTATTTGAAAATATGTGGACAATTTTCTACATTTCTTGAGTCAGCAATGAAGGATGTTTCCTGAGTAGCTGAAATAATGTCATGCTGTCACACTGCCTGTCTGATCGGCCCGGTTTAGTTTAGGTCTCTGTGAGTTTTGCTCATTGGTCTGTTCAGTATCTGTTATTTAGTCTGTTATGTTTAGATTCATTCTTGCCTGTTCCGTGTTTTGGGATCCACTGTTGTTTGATTTTTGTCTTGTGTTGTAGTGAACAACGGTGTGGATTTGTGCATTTTACAGCTACCCTAAATTCCTTTCTCCTCCCCAGAGAAGAAGGGGTGGGGGGGGTCAAAGTTGCTTTCTCTAAGTGCTAGCCCGACCATAAAACTGGCACCTTTTTGATTCCGAAGCTGATAATGAAGGGCCTGACTGTTAAACTGACAAAGGGACACGAACCAGCCATTGGCATTTCCCTGAACAGCCTATCAAAACTGCCCCCCCCACACACATGTTTCCGTGGCAACTGACTTAGCTCTATGTTTATTATCCCATCAAAGGGATACTCCTTGTCTCACCTAAGTGTGACATAATCCAGGACAGCCGAACTTTCAATGTAAAAGACTGCAGTCTCCAAAGACTCAAAGCATTTAATTGAGTTAATTAAATCTTTAGTTACCTGATTACGTTTGCCTCTATTTGAGTAGTTATGTTAACTGTTGTTGTTATCCGTTGTTGATATTAGTGCTGAAAAGAAAGTTACTTGTGCAGTGTTTTTATTTTCAGCAAGACACTCCTTCATCTAATGTAATCCAAGCTTTCCTCATGTAACCTGAGCTCCCCCAAGTGGACGAAATAAGTATTACATGCCCTCGTTGGAAATACCGTTAAATGTATAAATATCCTGACCAATAATGTGACAATTGTTTCCTGTTACCAAATGCCTAGAACAGTACAACCGTTTGACCATTGAAGTTCGATTGTGGAAAATATTTGATTATAATACGTGCAAATAGATTTCTTTTTAGACATTAAGTTTAGAAAGGCAGTCCCTTGGGAAACCTGAGACGCCCCCTGGGGAACCACGCCCCAGGCAACAAAAGAGCGACATGCGACCTCGCTACTCTCTTCTCTTCGCTACTTGCTCTCTCCGCTGCTCTGCTCTGCTCGCTGGACGCTTCGCGCCACGCAACGCCTTCAGTCGACCAGCGAAACAGGCCCTTTTGTTT